GCAAGAAAAGCCGTAAAATGGGGGAGAAAACTCACTTAAATTTCTCACATAGCAACATAAATTTTGGGCTCAATTGTGATCATAAGTCATAAGACTACATGTATCACAAAGAACAGGGGTGTCAAACTCGATTTCATTGTACAAACGAAGCCATAGGTGTCCTAAGCACGTGCTTAGTGTGCTTAATTAAAACACCACTGACTGGTGGGAGCACAAAACAAAGTAATAGAAAAGGAAGACGTTAAAGTGCCCGGGGACTTTAGAATTTAAATAAACAAGCATCTATCACATAAACACCCAAATTTAACAATTGTCAATAAGAAAGACAAAAAAAAAATCTAGAGTGGCTGTTGAAATACCTGAAGATAACAGAAGAGAAAGAACTGGAGAATATCATGAAGTATAAAAACCTGCCAATAGAATGACTGTGGCAAATAAAGCAAAGGTAATACCAGTGCTAATATGTACCTAATATGTCCCAAAACACCTGAAGCACCATTTGATTAGTATTGATGAAATCATCCTTGGTCAAATGCAAAAGTCAGCTTCACTCGTACCAGTTTATCCCCTCTCCCTGTGAGGTAACCTTTAACCTTATAACAAACAAACAAACAAATAAATATCTTACTTATCCCAAATTTTTGAGAAGGATTCCGTAAGTGGACAAAAAATGCCACATCCAGTCTAAACGTTTAGCTGTGTGACCAATCATAACAATTTCTTAAATTTAGATGCTACTCGATTCCTAGGACTCTGGACGGTTTACAAATACAAAATCATTTAAAAACAAGAGAAAAAATAGCATGGATAAGGAAGATGAGATTTGGTAAACTTTGGGGATGTAAGACATGCGGGGGGGGACTTTAAACAGGGCTGTATTCCACATGCTGAAAATTCTGTGCCCAGTCAATAAGTTTCAGGATGATAATTATATTATCCAATCAGCCCTCTCTGACTCTAGGCAATTCTGGGGGCCATGTCTTTCCACATCTTCTGATCCTGCACTACTTGAGTTATTCTAACATTAAAAATGCAAATACTACCAACAGATACCCTCCTGAACAGACCCTCAATATTGATAGCAAGAACATACATTTAAGTAATATAAAAATGGGGATGAAATCCAACTGCGGACTCAACATTAAGTGTGATTGTAATAGAAATCTGCCTGCCTTTCCCTCTGCCAGTTTCAAACATTCTTAACCACCAGGCTGTGTTGAGCAAGAGGAACAAATGTCTACTACCAGAACTGAAGAAGCTTCTTGGATGAGAAGCGAAATGTCTTCAAAGAAAAACAAAAAGTCCAGTTGCCTTTTGGAAAAGCACCTTTGGGATAACCATGATCTGGATGATGGAGATTTTCCATAGACAAACAAAATTCTACCTGAGCAAAAATCTATTTACACAAAATTAGATTTTATCCTGATTGCTTTTAATTAGGAAATTTTTCAAACCAAAGCACACACTTAATTCATATTAAATTTGATTTAATTCAGTAGGATGCACTTTTGAGTATGCAATTAAAAAGACAAAGCCGCTTGGGTTTTTTTTTGTATCCAAACAAAACTGAAGAGATTTCTAGCCTAAAAATTGCTTTCCCTTTAAAGAGCTTCTACACATGCTAACCCTGCCTCCCTTGTATTTTAAGGAATCCTTCAAAGTTCCATACCCCGTAAAAAAAATCACAAGTTATTACTCACCCTACATATAATGTATTTATAATTTATTGCAATCACTGTTCCAAAACATATCCAATTTTAATCCAGTTTTAATGAAATATGTTTTATCATCCATTTAGTAACCCTGCCTGTTTTCTCTAAATACGGGTGTGAACGCTGCCAAAATACCATATGTCTACCATGAGAGCATCAACTACCATTTGCCTTATATCAGGCAACAGCCATGAGAGATGAAAACAGGAATTGCATGTATATCCAGTTCTCCACATCTGTGGTTCCCAGAGGTGTGCAAAATTATGCATTGAGATTCAGGAAGAAAATATTAAAATATCTATTGTGTTTATTTTTATCCAAAAATAGGAAATTAATCTATTCTATAAGTATACAAACTATATCAAGAGTCTATGTTTTATAATGTACATATTGATACAAAGTACACGGAAATCATTTATAAATCAATAAACAAACATATATTGGGAAGGCATGATCAAAAATGTTTTATTGATAAGGGTACAGAATAAAACAAGTTTGTGGAGACCCCTTTTTTAGATTATCGCTTATATGTCAAACTCACTTTTAAGAAAGATGTTCCAAAGGAAGTATTTTTTTACAGTACAACAATGAAGTCACTTGTTCATCAACAGAAAACCAAGTGGATTTTGCATAAAAACTTACTGAATTTCAAAATACCATCAAGATACCAAACTTGATACCTTAATCAAGTGGTTACAACCCAGAGAAAATTTGTCACCATTATGTATAAAATAAAGAAGCACAGCACAGATGCTTTCAGACTCATTGTTATTATATACCTGAGAATGATCGGATCTCCTAACCTTTAAAAAAAAAAGAGAAAAAAAGCAGCCATGTGAAAATGTGTTCCCAGCATAATATATGTCACCACAGAATGTGCTATACATAAAAGTATTTAAGAGAAAGAAATAACTGCACAGTTGCAAGTAAAGTCAAGAAAATTCACATTTCTCACCCCCCCCAGATGTTAAATACTTTTTTGTTGGTATAATTGAACATCTGGATACTAGAATTACTCTAATTAAACAGTGCCCACGATTACTTGTTTACTAGAAAAATCATCTCCATACTCCCCCCCCACAAAATGAGACACATACAAAGAAGAAATTTTATATTTCATAAATGTTCACTTTTGTTTTTTTCAGATTATCTGTACAGCCTTGTGCAGTTCTTCAAACAGGCCAACTTCATGTTAAATATATGTAGATGATTACCAGAAGTTGTAATTTTTTTTGATGTTGCTGATACAAGACAGAAACCATCAAAGAAAATACTTAAATAATTATATGAGACTGTCTAATCCTAAAAGCAATATTTCCAAAACTCAAAAGCTTGTGTCCCAAATTGCTGAAGTAATTTGATAAGAAGTATTACTGATTCTATTTTTATTTTCTGGTAACACTATAAACAAATATTTCAAGATTCAAAGCTTGATAGGAATAGCAATTGAGAATTGCAAACTAAGGGAAAAATAGGTACCTTTTTAAATAAAAAAATAAATAAATAAAGATATCTGTGGCCTTTCATCACGCATTTTACAATATCCAGAATGCTACAAATTTTGCTGCCGGTTCAATGATGTACACCTTCCAATTTTTAGCAGAAAGATTTCCCTAATTGTTGGTTTGTTTTGTTTTTAAAAAGGGTGGGGGGGGAATCATCCTTTAACCTGCTCTTCCACCAATCTCCATCCCATTCTTAGCTCTGTCAACTGCATTTTTCCGAGTCCTCCCAATAAACCTGAAACACCTAGAAACAAAATGGGGGTGAACTCCTGGCAATCATTTAGAAATACCAATAACTTGCTAACAAAACCTCTTGTCTATCCCCCCATAACAACCTAAAGGCCTCAAATAGCTGCCTCAAATCACTCAGAAGTCAGAGCTTGTTCCAACTCAAGGCAACCCAAAATTGTATGGGATTAAGGTCTGTGCTGGTCATCAGCTGGCAAGAGATGGAGGAACTGGCAAAATACAACTGTATCACTGCTGTGCTGCAGACTTCATCTGCATTCATTTTGCCAATGGTTGGCCAATGAAACGTGCCTCAAGCCCTCGGGGAAAACTTCTCTTGATAATCGCTAAGGTAGACGGTCCCAACTGAAAAATACAGATGCATCTTCCATTCTTCAACCGCAGGAACCAAACTCTGTAGCTCAAAGGGGGAGCACTGAATTGCCTTGTTCTAAAATGGGGGACCAGGCCATGCTGACAGAGCCTTGAGGCACTCACTCACAAACAGGCATGGGGCTAGGCCAGTCCAGAGCTTCCCCACAGTGATAAAGCTGTCTCAATCAACTCCCTTTGGAAAAGTTCCACACAGCCAGTGGCTCCCAACTGGGAAAGATGGCCCCATTTATTTAATGCTCCATGCAACATTTCTGGCACTGCATCAAGGAACTGAGCAGTCACTGCCAAAGGAACAAAACGTCCAGTTTAATTCCACAATCAAACACAGATATTTTTACCCAGCTTGGTCCATCAGCAACTGTGAAACTTTGATTGCAAGAAATGTTTTTCTTTTCTTGTTTACAACTATATCTTGGCTTTGTATCCAGGGATAGAAATGCATGTTTTTATTTTTGCATATGTTAGAAAAAAACACAACAACTTATTCGTAGCCTGTATTTTCTTTTTCCGCCCAAACTACTAAGCCATGGCTGATTATTTATCCGACATCTCGTCTTATACCAGCCCACATCTTAAATTTAAAGCATTTAAAATACAAAAGAGAGGATTCTTTCAAAAGCAACGTTAAAAGCTCCAAATTCATAGGACTGACTGCAGGATCATCTATAGGGTCAGTCAAAAAATAAATAAATAAATAGTGAAATAATTGAAGCTCCCCCTTTTTTTCTCTTGCATCACAAAAAAAGGGGGCAGGGCTAAACTTTTAACCACATGGCCATGAGCACCATTTTGATTTCACAGACTCACTAACAGATATTTTAACAAATGTTCAAATATTTCAGAATCTGGGAAACACCCCAACTCATGCACAATTTAAGAAGCTTTCAAACACCTGCAGAAGCCAAAGCCCTATTTTTTCGCTGCCCTTGACATTTAGTGATATCTGCTTAAAAATGAAAGTAAACAATAGTTTATGCTCTCTACATAAACTATCTCCTAAAAGTGTGTCATGGATACAACAGGCAAAAAACAAAAAGAAAAACCAAACCCAGACGGATAATTCAACTCAAAGCTTTCCAAGTTCATTTGTTTGCTTGCAAAGAACATGGAATTAAAATAGAGATTAAGAGATTATCTGTTTGGTTGTTGTTGTTTTTTGGCAGAAATTGGGTAGATTGCTGAATTGCTCTCCTTCCGAGAACTCAGCTGAAATATTACTTAACTGCCTGGAGACCAAGTAAAGCCTCACAACCAGTCATTTCAAAGACATTTTTTTTCCTTCACTGACATTTCTCCCACATCTTGCAGTAAACCAGTCTCCAAAGAGTGAACTATTATATACGGATTGAAAAAACAACCACCACTGTCGTTTGTTTATCATATTTTGATGGATTAAGAAGAGAGCCAGCTTCTTAAGGATTGTACTCCTTTTAAACTGACCACGGAGTTTAAAGGGATTTCATTTGCTCAATTAATGTGTAAATATACACCGGCAGCAGAGGAGGGAACAGCTGCAAAGCAATTCTATTAAATCCTTAATACACAAATCCGGTGATTATTTCCCAACCAGAACACAGCCAACAACACACCTGCAGAGACAGACACCCTTGCTTATTGTGGCAGGGTAAGATGCCACCCAGTTCCTTGCCCACCGAGAGCGTGACAGGCAGTCAAAGCAGAAGAGAAATAACTTTACTTTTTTGGAGGGGATGGGGAGGTGCACTTGTGGAAATACAGGCTTTCTGCTTTCCGTGTGTCCTCGTTGGACGGATTCAGGCATTTCTTAGGCCCCTCAGAACAAACTTTTTTTTGAGATTCTGCTCTGACCCCCCTCATCAGGTGTCCTTTGCTTCCGCAAGGACCTCCCTCTTGGGCAATCTTCCCGCAAGAGATTCAGGCCTTTTGGAGAAACCGCAGTTAAAGAGGACAGGACGCTTCCGTGGCCTTTCAAGTGATCTTGAGGGGAGACTTCTTGTGAGCACAGAGGAGAGTGACGTAGGGCACCCCGATGAATGCCCACTTCTCACTGGGCCAGAACTTGATGACGGGGCCTTGTTCGGGGATCTCAGAGACAGCATCAAAATAGGCAAAGCAGACGCAGCCCAGGTAAGCTGCAATACAGATGAGGATGTGCCTGAAAGAGAGAGAAGCAGAAGGGCTACGGTTTGCTTCGATTTCAGGTCTTAAAACATAGAATTATTCCAGTTGGAAGGGACCTCAGAGGTCTTCTAGTCCAACCCTGACAGAGCTAGAGCCGGAAACCCTATTATCATTTTAGACAAATGGTTGTCCAATCTTGGGTTGGTTTTTTTTTTGTTTTTTGAAGCCTTCAGTGATGGAGCTACCCCCAACTTTTGAAGGCAAAAGCTGTTCCACTGGTTGATTGCTCTCACCATTAGGAAATTTCTTAGTTCTAGGTTGCCTCTTTCCTTGGTTAGTTTCCATCCATTCGTTGTTTCTTGTCTTTTGGTACTTTGGAAATGTTTGACCTCCCTCATGTTTGTGGGAATCCCCTACAAATTTTGGAAGAATGCTATCAAGTCCCCCCAGTCCTTCTTTTCATTAGGCTAGAGACATGCCTAATTCCAGCCCCCAATGGCTTTTGCTGGACCTCTCTGCATTGTTTCACAAGGAGAGGCAATGCTTGAGGTCAGTGGAAGTAGTAAACTTACACACTTTTGCAGGGAAGAGAAACTAAGAAGCTTCCTCAAGAAATGGGAGAGCTTTTGTAAAAGTTTTTATTTTTATACTACTCACACAGCAACCCAGAAAACGTTCAGTAGCTGCTCTGCCATCTGTTGCACTCTGGAAACAGGGTGTAAAACAGACTGTGTGCGTTGTGTCAAGGCAAGCTTGGATCCCAGGGCTCAACTCGAGGATGTTAACACATTTATATGTGCATCGGCAATTTTTTTCACCTCTGGAAAGAAGGCAAATTAACTTCCTTTCTCAGAGATGCTTAGTTGACAGTTTGCAATTATGAATCAGCCGGTTTTCTGAGTACCGAGTCTCTGATTTATGGGAAATAGGGTTCAAATCAGGATTTAAAGCAGAAATGGAGGTAATCCTTGGTTTGTGGGCCACTTGGAACCCCTGGACTATTTTTAATAATGATTGTAGCTGGGGAATCATGTTTTAAAACAGAGGTGTCCAATCTTGACAACTCTGAGACTTGTGGACTTTAACTCCCAGAGTTCCTCAGTCAGCATAGCTAGTTGGGGAATTCTGGGAGTTGGAGTCAACAGATGTTAAAGTTGTCAAGGTTGGACATTCCTGCTTTAAACTTTAGAACAGACTTCCAGCATTGTCCTCTCAATATTCCACCCCTAGCTACAGCATCCCTGCAAAATCTCAGAAAAATCTTTGCCCCTCATGTAATCCCTCTGTTCTCTTGTGTCATTGTTCAGCCTATTGTAATTTGTAGCACTTCCACCCAAAAATATCAGCCTCTAGTTATGGAAGGAGGCCCAGCAATTTCCTTTTTGGAAATCTTAAAACACCATGATATGCTACTGTCAGAACACAAATGAAGGAGCAGAAATATATTTTTCTGCCAGAATTTATTTTGTTAATGCTGTCTAACTTGATTGATTCATGGAACAAACTAATCACCAAAAACACCTTACGCAAGATCTGTTTTTAATAAAGAATAAATCTAGGACTTACCATACGCAGTGTAAATAAGGAAATTTTAAAGATGACCAAATCTCGCAAAATACTTTGTCACTAATCCAACAAAATAGTGCCAACATCCACCATAGGCCAGAAAACAATCCCAGCTTATATACTCGGACATTGTCACACCTAGAAGGAAAAGTGATAACTGATACACTATTGGCAATAGTGTAAATGAATAAAACAGAAGTTTTAAATCAAGCCAAGTCAACCTAGATTATAAATCAAAATACAGTTTTTGGTTAAATCTGTTGAATTACTGAATGACACAAATGAAATATCAACAGTAGGAATGTCTCCAGGTTAGGAACCAAAAAATCAAAATGAACTGATCAAAGCTCTACCCAAAAAGCAAACAGCTATGTAGCCACTACCTTTTGGGACCATAGCTAATCAGAAGCATGCAAGCAACCAAATTTCAATTTTAAGAGATGTCATAGCATTTGATCTTACTGGACTTGAATTCTTCTAGCTAAAACGGTAAATTTGAAGTGTTTTGCTTCCTTTTGAACCTATCACTTAGGGCTGTCGAACTCACGGCCTGTGGGCTGGATGCATCACGCTCTGGCCACGCCCACCCCCGGTTTAGCGAAGGGGAGAAAAGTCGTAATACGTCATATGACACTGCCGTGACGACGAGTTTGACATCCCTGACCTAAGGCTATTTATTACTGCAATAACACGTGGGAGGAAGATGATTTTTGCTTACTGAGAAGGAAATCTAACATCTATCAGATATCTTCCATCAATTCAATTTTGTACATAGATGGTTTATATTAATTGCATATGTGCGTTCTTTACATCGGGGTCCCCAAACCTCCGGTCCACGGACTGGCACCGGGCCATGGCATGCTAGCAACTGGGCTGTGCAAACAAGAGAAGCCCCATCTATGGGATGCAGGCAGCATGCGAAACCACGCCTCCTCTGGCCCTCAGAAAAAAACTCTCTTCACGGAACTGATCCCTGGTACCCCAAAGGTTGGGGGGGGGCGCTGCTTTTCACGGCACCACTTCACTGGTCCATAACTTACAATTTTGATAATTTTTTTTGAACATTTACCAGAGATGGTTTGAATTTTGATTTGATGTCCCGTGCTGTGGCATCTAGTCCATGTTCTGTACTTAGGGCAATTTTATGTTTTGTATTTAACATCAGAGTTTCTAAAGCCTCAAAATGGAGCTCAGACCACCATGTTGCACTAGAGGTACTAACTTCATCTTAAGTTATGTATTAAGCAAGTTATTGGGGGCGGGGGGGGGGGGGGGAAGAGAGTAAGAGTATTTCTCCCAGGACCATACCACCCCTGAAAAAGCCAAATGACAACTTTCAACCAGAAATGGGATGAGGTTGTGCTGCAATGCACCAGCATTGGAGAGCCTGTGTGGTCTAGTGGTTAAAGTACCAGGCTAGAAAGTGGCAGACTGTCAGTTCTAGTCCTGCCTTGGCCATGGGTGACCTTGGGCCAGCTCCTCCTGCTCAGCCCAACTCCCTTCACAAGGTTGTGGTTGGGTGAAACCGAGGAGGAGGAAGGCGTGTGGGATATTTTTGCCACCTTGAGTTATTTCTAAAAATAATAAAGGCGGAGGTGGGGTGGGGGGAATCTAAATAAATGAATTAAACACAATTTATCTGCCTCGCTTCAGCCAGTCTGGTACATACCTTTTAAGTTCTGCAATAAGCAGGGCGCTGCAGGGAAGACCTAATGTCATCAAGGAGATGTTATTGATGGCGGGCTTAACAAAGGCGAGGCATGTAGTGACTCCAGAAAGAATGCCCACTGCAGCTTTGAACCGGCCTCTGCAAAACATATGTATTTTTAAACAGTGTCAATCTGGGATGAGATAAAGGTGTCAAAAACTATTTGCTCAGTATAATTGATGCTTCAGTCGTTCAAGAGAAGAAAAACAGACACAGGTTTTGCAAACCCAAATGCCTTTGTTTTAAGGCACTACGTAGAATCTGGAGGACCACATACTTCACTTACTCAGAACATGGGTTTTGTTTGCAAAAATGTAGAAGTGCTGTAGTCCGTGACTTACGGCTGGGAAATTTGGTCGTGAGTTGTTGCACTCACCACATGATCAGACTTGATTTTATATCCGTTTTTACAACGGCTGGTAAGTGAATCAGGCGGATTGAATCCAGCTTATCCAATGTCAGAAAATGGCAAAAAAAAAAAAGAAGAGTCACAAAACATAACAGGGTCACCCAAACCCTTTTGCACTACTCAGGTGACCCTGAGGATACAGATAAACCTCCAGGTGACCTAAAGAATACAAATGACCAGCTGACTGCAAAGAATATAAATCTTTCCATTCCCTGCTATCCTGTCAGAGCTGAAGAAACTGCTTGGATGAGAAGTGAAACATATTCAAAAGAAAAAAGAAGAAAGTCCAATTGCCTCCCGAAAAAGCACCTTTGCGTCAACCATGACCTGGATAGCTGGGAATCTCCATCAGAGACTTTTAACCAGTCATAAAAGTGTCAGTTTTCACGTGCCCAAAACGCAACTGAGCAGGGAGCAGGAAGTGCAGCACTTGTAACTTTGAGAACAAAGATCGTAGGCCCATTATAATTTTGAAAGGTCATTAAGCAATTGATCACAAGTCAAAGATCGCCTGTAATAAAATGAGGGAACATGATTCCAGGCTGACGAATCGCTTTACTCGTTCTGCCTGCTCCTGTCTACATCATGTTGTCCCATATCTATCTGCAATCTAAGTTGCACAAGGCTTTTTACACTCTAGTAAGCACCCTGAATTGTGTTGAAGAAAGCAAAAGGCAAAGTGAGTTGTTTGGTCATTTCCAAAGTAGTTCTAGTCCTCATCACACTCATCACTGCACAACTTTCTGTGCCAAGTACAATTTTGGCACTGACTTTATGGGTGGCCCCATGAAGATAATTCTGAGGATATGAGTGCATGAACCTCTGATGCTAAGTAGCAAGTTGTGGATTGCCTGTATGCGGTGAAGCTACAAGATGAAGCAAAACAATGAACTTGATTTAGGAAATCAGAACATATCAACAGCTCTCCCTTTAAATGATATCCATGATGCTGTTCATACTCCAAAGTGCTAAATTTTGTTCTAAGTGGCAAAAGGTAAACTTATAATTGGTCCTCTGGGAATTACAGCAGAACTGGTAGAAGAGTTTATGGATTAGCACCCGATTCTTACTGCACAGGAGGCTGTAAACAGAACCGGCACCCTACTGCCTATTTCAACTGCTTATTTGTGAGACAGTAGCAAAATGTTATTGTTCCTTTGAAAAGAAGTATATGAAATTACACTAACAGAGACAGTGGAAATGATTGTCTGGTGAACAAGAAAAAAAGGCATGTTTGCTGGGGGAAAATAACATAATCAGAGTTGGAAGGGACCTTGTAGGTCATCTAGTCCAACTCCCCAATCTCTTCTTGAAAGTCTCAAGTGATGGCGCTCCCACAACTTCCGAGGGCAAGCTGTTCCATTGGTTGATTGTTCTCACTGTCAGAAAGTTTCTCCCTATTTCCAGGTTAAATCTCTCCTTGTTTAGTTTCTATCCATTATTCCTTGTCTGGACTACAGGTGCCTTGGAAAATAGCTTGATCCTTTCCTCTCTGTGGCAGCCCCTCAAATATTGGAAGACTGCTATCATGTCTCCCCTGGTCCCTCTCTTCACTAGACTAGCCAAGCCCAGTTCCTGTAACCATTCTTCATATGCCTTAGTCTCCAGTCCCCTAATCATCCTGGTTGCTCTTCTCTGTACTTTTTCTAGAGTCTCAACATCTTTTTTATAATGTGGTGGACAAAACTGGATGCAAGGATGCAAGGATAATATTGCATTATGTGTATACAAAAAGAAAAATCATTACAAAAACTGTAGTCACAGAGCACAGACTATAGATAATATTCAAAGAGAAAATGCAGAACAATTTTGGAACTCAAAAATAATTGCTTTAGAAGTGAAAGACACGGAGAAACATAAGAGGCTGCCGCAGAGGGATTAGAACTAAAAACAAAAGTAACAATATAACTCTGGATGAAACTGAAGAGAGAGAGAGCTTAAAGGGATATTTTATAGATTTTTTAATGGGAATTACAGGGAACTGGTTTGGTGTAGTGGTTTATGGCAGGGTCTCCAACCTTAGCAACTTTAAGACTTGTGGACTTCAACTCCCAGAATTCCTCAGCCAGCAAAGCTGAGGAATTCTGGCAGTTGAAGTCCACAAGTCTTAAAGTTGCTAAGGTTGGAGACCCCTGGTTTAAGGCATCATCTAAAAAACGGGAAATTTTGAGTTTTAGTCCTGCCATGGGCACCAAGCCAGCTGAGAGACCTTGGACCAGTTGCTCTCTCTGCCCTCAGCAGGCAATGAGAGTCAAGACTGCAGAGAATTAAAACAAACACTGGGTTATTGCGCCCACCCATGATGAAAATCAGGTAATAAAAGCTGTGTGAACATTGATATTTTGGAAGCAGGAAAAACTGACGTCCTGGAGAGAAGGAAGGAAGAAAAAAAAAGGCAGTATACAATGTTGAAACAAGCCTCAGGAAATACAGGTATGACCACAATTGAACCCGACATTTCTGTTGCTAAATGAGGCAGTTGTTAAGTGAGCTTTGCCTCATTTTACGGCCTTTCTTGCCACAATTGTTAAGTGAATCGCTGTCGCTAAGCTGATTGTTAAGCAAATCCAGAAACACTCAAAAGGCGACCCCTTGACACTGGACACTTCAAAGGTCATAAATATGAGTCAATTGCCAAGGGTCTGAATTTTGATCGTGTGACCGTGGGGATGCGGTTGTGTGAAAAATGGTGATACGTCACTTTTTTTCAGTGCCCTTGTTAAGTTCGAACGATCACTAAACGAACAGTTGTTAAGCCGAGGATTACCTGTAAAGCAAAAAACCCTGAGGTTGGTCTGACTTCCGTTAGCTGTGAAAGAGGGGATGGTTTTAGATAGACCTGAATTAGAAAAGCACTTCCAAAGCAGATTTTGGCAGCAAGGCCAAAGCAGGATCTAGCAGCGGGGATGAAGGAGAAGTGCAAAAGTGCAATGCATCCCCCCATATCATAACCAGAGGATTTTTAGCAAGGCTGAACCGCCCACCATCGTAAAATCCTCCGTAAAACACCTTGCACTCTTGCCCTTTTATTTGCTGAATGGGACTTCTGCGGCTGTGCTTGGCTCAGCCTGTCTTCCTGGCCATCGACGGGGGCAGCGTTTGCTCAGTGGCAGATCCAGTATCTCAAGCCGCTCCTACCATCGCAACAATAATCCTCAATCAAATGTCAGCCACAACACTCACACCGGTTAGGGCTCAACCACAATGGTACCCCAGAGTGACAGTAATGCCGAAGCACAGAAATGTTGTGGACCACCGAAAGGATGGAGACTTCTCCACCAAAGATCTACATTCCCAGACGTGTGTGTGTGTGTGTGTGTGTGTGTGTGTGTGTACGTACGTACTATGTGTGTCTGTCCATCCATCCATCCATCCAGCCTGGAAATAAGGAGAAATTTTCTGACAG